TTGCACCTTACCTCAGTGGTGAGCCATTGAAACTTTTTAAGACAGGATTGATACCATGTTATTCACAAAATTAACTGGTGGGACATTATAACTTCTACCATAAATTGTGTCTTACTGTAAGAGATTTTATCTTGAACTACTAAGGTTTAAAGGTAGGGAAGAGAATTGACATAGATTTGAGAGAGATTTTTAGGATAGAAAAGATAGACCTATATGGCTTATGTAGTATTACACTAATAGACAAAAGGAAGAACAATTAAATCTATATTATCTGTCTTGGCAACTGTTGGATGTCTGTGTTATATGAGAAAGGTAGCTTAAGTGTAGTATCAAACTTAAGGAGGTATAATGAGTTCAGGTATGTGTGAGGGTGATTTCAAGTGTTGGGGAGATTTAGTTGGGGATACTGAGTGAGTATCTGTTTATAACTTAAAAGAATGCTAAAGGTCTCAGGTATGTCTTAGTTAATGAATTTTTTCCCTTAACCACTAGACCATCCATCAAAGATTAATCAATTCTAAATTCTACATCTTGTTACCTTTTTTTTTTTTGAGACAGCGTCTCACTTTGTTACCCTTGGTAGAGTGCTGTGGCGTCATAGCTCACAGCAACCTCAGACTCTTGAGCCCAAGCAATTCTCTTGCCTCAGACTCCTGAGTAGTTGGGACTATAGGCACTTGCCACAATGCCTGGCTATTTTTAGAGACGGGGTCTCACTCTTACTTAGGCTGGTCTAGAACTCCTGTGTTCAGGCAACCTATCTGCCTCGGACTCCCAGAGTGCTGGGCTGACAGGTGTCAGCCATTGCTCCTGGCCATCTTGTTACATTTTGATGTTCCTGAAAACAAACTGTGGTTTATTAATGGCCTCCCTGAATCCTTTTTGGGCAGATAATAGCCACGGACATTCTTATTGTTATATCAGCTGCTTTGCACAGTATTGGTATGTAGGTTATAATGAAAGTTTTGAGATACAAAAAAAATCAAGAAACTTAAAATCTACAAATGAAGCTCTAGAAATAGAGGTAAGTTGAACAAGTTGAAGCTTGCACAGGTGAATCAGAAAGAACACTATTAACTGTGATTTTTAGAAGTGAAATAATGGATCATAACTGTCTCAAAAACTTTGATAATGACCTATGTAATTCATGTGTTGATTGAAGTAATAAACAATTTAATATTATAATTTGTTAGACTTATGTCTTTATTGGTCATGTAAGTGGGGCAAAGCAAATATCCTTTCAAAACTCAGGCAAACTGGTGTTTGTCTTGAATCTTGTCAAAGGAAACAAATGAAAAAAAAATATTATAATTTAATATTGTAGCGTGTGCTTTAAAAGGGAAAATGGCCACAAGTAGGTAAAACTGCTATCACCTGCAAAGCGTTGAAATTGAAGAACTAGGGGGGTGGTTCTCAACCTTCCTAAGGCCGCCTTTAGTACAGTTCCTGTGGGTCATGACCCACAAGTTGAGAATCACTATACTAGGGCATTTGCTATCTTTACGGAGCAAATGATAAATTTCAAAGCAATGAGGAACTAATGTGACCATTTCATGTGTTGCACAGGACTGTTGTTATATCATTCAGTGTTATATCATTCTTTAATTAGAAGCATTTTTTTTATCTTTTTTTTAAACACTGGCTATTTTTAGATACAGTTACTGTTGTTTAGCTGGCCCAGGCAAAGTTCAAACCCCCCAGCCTTTGTGTGTGAGGCTGGCTCCATAACCACTGTATTATGGGCGCCGAGCTGGAAGTGTTTTTTCTTTTTTAGAGATTAATAAAAGTGTGTTGCTTCTTGTAGTACTCATGAAAAGTGTCATCGGCATGTGGGTAGTAGTCGAAGCTGTGGGGATGGAAGAAATAACTAGAGAAAAGAGTGAGATGAGAAGAAGGCATGGAGGTCTCACACTAGGTTCTGGTGTGAATTCTGATGTGTGTTCCTTGTGTGGTGGTGGCGGGGGTTGGGGGGGAGCAGAATGCATGTCTGTTCTCATTGCAAAATGCATACACTCCTTGATCTCTGTCATCTTCTGCTCTAAAACTTGGCAGTGTCCTTTTTACTTTGCTTAAGACAAAGAATAGTAGCACCAAAGTGTTACTAGTAAGGAATACCATGATGTTCCACGGAATTTAACCCTGTCTTTGGGAAGCAATGTGTGCAATTAGGCCAAGCAAATAATCTGCATAAAAATAAAGGAAGACCAAAAAAACTGTGAGTAATGTAATATGCTAGTGAAACACTAGATCAAGAAAAGTCAGAAAAACATCAAATGTGAGCAGAATAATAAAATTTTTTGCTCCCAATTTTATTTCCTTTAGGAAATTTCCTTTCAAAATTTAAAAAGTACCATGGAACAGTACTTGGAACAGTCCAAGCATATATATTACTTTATTTCTCTTTACTTTCTTCCTTCAATGCTTGAATTCATTTTACAGTTTTTTGTTAAATGCCTGTAGAATATTAATCATTGTTTCAGGGATGATTACAGATGAGAGCCACCACACTCAGCTCTGATATTAGTAGTAGTTTAAAATACTGAGTTACAAACTATTGTTAGGCTACTCTACATTATGTATTTTTCATTTCATGAAGCCATATTTAACAATTATGTTGCACCATTTACTCAAATTAACTATCTTCTGTTTACTTCAGCTTTTAAGATTTCTTTGTTCACCATATTTATTTTCTATCTTCTTTGGTCATAAAATCTCTATTTCTATATAATCATTATTTGTTTAGCGTTCATCTTTTCATGATTTTCATCAAATATACTTGGGTTAAATACTTCTGAACTCTTGTAGATCCAAAAATGCTTTCATTTTGCTCACACACATGTCATAACTAGGTATAGGTTTCTTAATTTCCCCTTCATAGTTTATAAATTGCTAGTGTAATAGGTTAGGAATTTGATGTTAGTCTTTTCTTGTGGGAAACTTACTCTTTTTGTCTAAAAGTTTGGAAATTTTTGTCCCCTAAAATTTAGGATTCTCGTGGATGCAGTTTCTTTCTTTCCCTCCCTCCCGCCCTTCCTTTCTACCTTCCTTCCATCTTTAAATATTTCTTGTAATGAAGTAAGTGCTTTTTAAATCTGCATTCAAGCCTTTAACTCAAAGAAAATTTATTGTTATTTATTTAATTACATTTCTATTTGTTTCTTTGTCTTCTGTTGGAATTTATCATTTTATGCTAGGGATTCTGAGCCTTATATTTTCCTTATGATTGCCATTTCTGTGTTTCTGCCCTTTTTTATAAGCAGTAGGATAAAGATTGACTTATTGCAGCAAATTTTAGGCTTTTTGACTCTAATTCACAATAAGAAATACATTTCACCTAGCAGCCCAGGTCACACAAATCTAATCAAGACAGAAATTTTATGAAACTATATAATGTCTGTGATGCACTCTATTTTCTGTTCCAGTTTAGTGTATTCTATCTTTGTAATCTGTTATTTAAAGAGAAAAACGATGCTAGTTGCTGCGTACTCCCACTCAGTCAGTGATTCTTAGCCATGGGCTACTTCGTCCCCCAGGGGACATTTGGCAATTTCTGGAGACGTGATTGTCGCAACTGGGAGGGTGCTCTTGGTATCTAGTGGGTAAGAAGCCAGTGGTGGCACTGAATATTCTGCAATGCACAGGATAGCCTCCACACTGATAATCTTGTCAGATGTCGGTAGTGCCAGGGTTGAAAAACCCTGTAGTACATGGATTGTTTTTCTTTTTTTTTTAACTTCTCAATGCAGTATTTCTCAATTCTAGCTATACATTAGAATCATATAAGGAGATTGATTTAGTAAGTCTGAGATTAGCTGGTGAGTAGTGGTTTTAAAAGTTCTTCAGTGTTGTAAAAACTAAGACTTATGATAGATAGCCATGGCAAACATTTAGTTCTAATTTCATATGATAGTGTTTTTATTTTTTCTTTTAAAATGAAAGCTTTTTATTACCCTGATAATAAAGCAGTATAATTTTTATACCTTTTTTCAATGTTTAATTTATAAGTAAAAAGAAATCCCCTTGTTGGATTATCTTGTGTTTTTGTATATTTGTTGAAGATGAGGTAAATTAAACCAGATTACCTACCGTGTTTCCCTGAAAATAAGACACTGTCTTATATTTATTTTTTCTCAAGAAGACACACTAGGGCTTATTTTCAGGGGGTGTCTTATTTTTATTAAGTATAATACAGCAGTCTACGTTTATTCAAATACAGTTAAGTCATCTTCAGGAACCTGACAGGGGGAGCCGACCTTGTTGATGGGGCTGACCCTAGTGATGTGTGAACTCCTTTCCCCTAGCCATTTGTGTACACAATAGGACGCTTGTGACCGCAGTTACCACATGCGCATCCACGCAAGCGTGAATGGCTCAGAGAAAGGAGCTGTGGCAGATAAAGGCATTCTAGTCTTCCTTACCACTCCACCGAAATACATGGGGTGGCTATGCAGATATGCTGCTGCATAGCCACACCCATCACTAGGTCTTATTATTGGGGTAGGGCTTATATTTTAACAAATGCATAGAAATCCTGCTAGGGCTTATTTTGGGGGTAGGTCTTATTTTTGGGGAAACACAGTATTATTTGTAAGAATTTTTAGTGAAATAATTAAGATTATCACATATGCTGTGTGGTCTTAAACTACCATATATTGTATGTTAAAGTGCATAATAAGCATCATCTGTAGGTGAGTTGAACACCTGCAGATTTCTTACCATACTGCACTCTGGTAAACCCATGTTTCTCTGCAGTGTCAGAAATAGATTATGCTTGGTTAGGCCACATAGAAGAGATTGTACTTCATAGGGCCGTCTTGTTACAAATCAGAGTCTAGGAAGGAATTAGAATAGTTTGCAAAGTTGAGCCTTCATTGGGGTCCCAGAGTTGGAGGAGGATTGACCTTCAGTGATAGAAGGGTTTAATTACTAAGTATATATGGATTTGAAAATCTGTGAAGTTATTTCCAAATCTAAATATGCTTTCCACTATCTGCCAACAGGTACGACTGTAACTACTTTAAGATTATTCAAGAATTTACCTGTAAGAAAGCAATTTTACTCAACTGCTAAAAAATGTAAAGATGAAATTAAAAAGGTCCAAGATCTGCTCATAAGCTATGGTGTCCTTAAACCTGACTTAAGGATTATGTTTGTACATAACAAGGTAAGCATTATACTTTTATAAGTTTTTTGGTATATAATATCATAAAGGTATAGTGCATTTTATCTGAATCAGATATGGGGTATGAACTGAATGTTTGTGCCCTGTGACAGAATTTATTTGTTGTAAACCTGATCACCAGTGTGACGTTATTAGGACATGGTGCCTCTGGAGGTGATTAGATCGCAGGGGCTCCAGAGAGCTGCCTTCCCTCTTTCACTATGTAAAAAGGCCACCACACTCTGAGAAGGTGTCATCTATGAAACACGAGTTGGGACCTCGCCAGACACAAGTCTGCTATTGCCTTGGTCTCATACAATTTCTGTTATTTATAAGCTATTGCCTTGGTCTTATACATCTCAGCATGCAGACTTGCAAGAAATAAATTTCTATTATTTATAAGCTACCCAGTTGATGGTGTTTTGCTGCAGTAGCCCAAAGATAATAAGTCATTTTTCAAAACTTTAGTCCTCATTTGTTTAGTTTTATCTTTATTATATGAAGTATATCTTTAATCTGTTACCTAATGAAATCTGATCAAACCTTTCATTTCTTATTATTTAAAATCAGCAATTCTGACAGATTTTTTCATCTAAGAAATGGATTGAGTGCTTCCCTTTATCAGGTACTATGATAAATTCTGAAAATATGAAATTAAGTAATATTTATTCTTTTATTTTAAAGAAAGAACTCTTAAAGAGTTAACAACTTAGTGACATTTTCCTTTTGTGTTCTAAATCACTTCTTTATTTTTATTCATTTATTTATTTATTGAGACAGTCTCACTATGTCGCCCTTAGTAGAGTGCTGTGGCGTCACAGCTCATAGCAACCTTAAGCTCTTGGGCTTAAGCGATTGTCTTCCCTTAGCCTCATGAGTAGCTGGGACTACAGGTGCCTGCCACAACACCCAGCTGTTTTTTGGTTGCAGTTGTCATCATTGTTTAGCAGGCCTGGGCCGGGTTTGAACCCACCAGCCTCACCTCAGTGTGGTTGAACAGTGTTAAGCCAATCATTTCTTCTTTAGAACAGATTGTTTATTAAAATAAGCTCTGGTTTGTTTCTTTCCATTTTTCAAAGCAGGGCTGATAAGGGAAGGAACTCATCTTGTTTTTTTTCTGTTTTTTATTTTTAATTGTGTGTCACCTTAGAGGTTTCTGGGTCAACCACTTATTCACATCAAGTCCCTATAGCCATTAGGGATACTTTGTTGTTGTTGTTTTTTTACCGTTTTCTTTTTTTCTTTCTTTTTTTTTTTCATCTTGTTTCTTAATGAATCTTAGGGGAGAGAAAGTTTTATTTATTTTCTGATTATTCTGTTTTTTATGAATTTCAGATACTTGGGCATCTGAAATATTTAGTGAAAGGACAGCAGAACCACACAGTAGTGTGGAAGCCTGGTAGGGAAGAGGGAGTTAACATTTACTAAGGGCCTACCTACTACCATGGTCTATACTATGCATGTCAGTCTCTTGTAATCCTCATAGCAAAACCAAGTGAGGCAGACATCATATCGTTTTTGCAGTTGTCATCTGAATGGTTTTTTGCTTATTGTTGAATAAATTGTTGAGATTTGAAACTTAGTATGCCTGTGAAGTGCAGATTTTTTACACACTGCTTTGTTCTTCTTCTGTCTTAATAACTACTCTATACAGTTCTTTCCTAGGTTTCAGAGCACTTACAATAACTTTGTGAAGTAAACAGCATATCTATTTGTATCTGAACTTGCTCAGAGCAAGTAAAGGACTTGTTTTATATTTTACAATATAATAGTGCTGATGGCAGAATTCTTTTGATACAATTTTCTTTCTATTCCATGTCTTTTTACTTATTCTCAAGAAGAGTCTTAATTAGACCAAGCTCTGGTAGACTATGATCAAAATCTTTGGTCATTTTAAAAAAAAAGAAAAAAATAACATTCAGCCACCTGTTCCTGCTGGCATAGAGCTCAACCAAATGATACCTTGAGATCCCTTCCAGCTCTATCATGCTGTGATTTCTCAGGATGTTGATGGATGGAGGCTCATCCTACTCATAAAAATAACCCTATGGCCTCTTGATCCAGAGGACATTTAGTTACAAAAAGTTGAATTGTCCCCAAGTTAAGAAAAGCCCACAGCCAGAAGAAACATAATAATTTGAAAGGGAAAATAGATGAAAAGGTAAAGTATGAAGAGAAATAGGAGAATAATATATTTGTAAAAGAAAAGCAAATACAACTAAAGAGAAAAAATTTTGAGTAAAAAAGTAGAATAGATCAAAACAAAACTATTTCCTCACATAATGAAAATGAATATATCAGAAATATTTGAGATGATATGGGAGTTCCTATTCATTTGAAGTTGGATATATATCTTACAAGTTTTTGATAAGTCTATATTACTTTCCCATGCAGTGTAAAATTATCAATGTAGACATTTTCTTTTGGGAGTGGAAACCAGTGTTCTGAAGTATGCTACTTCTTGTTGTGGTTTGGAGGACACTGTTATCAGTACACATATTGAACAAATACAGGTTCCTCGGTGGTCTTCAGTCATTGCACATGCAGTTCAGATCCTGAAGAGTATGTTTCGGTATTACATTGTAAAAGTAATGTAAGATTATCGTAGGTCTTTAGTAAAATTAGGTGTTAACTATTATTATACAGGGAAATCATGGACTGAGTTAGAATAAGCTTTCTTCAAGCATTTTTCTCTGACTACAGATGATTTTCCTTTTTAATTTCTTAATAGTGCTATTATGCCTCAAAAATGTTAATATATATTGCTTTAGTCCCTCAAAGTAGTATTGACATGTTATAAATCTTTTTGAACATTGAGCCCTACGCTGCTCTTAGCCTTTTCCTTTTAACCATGCCTACCTTCATCATTCTTTATGAGCTTTTGTAAAGAATTATTTTGTCTTTGCTTAAAATCTGGACATGACAAAATTGATGTCTTTTCTCCTTTATTTTGTCTTCTGCATTGGAAACAAACAGTCATACTGCACATAATATGAGAAGTACTATTGCTATTTTGATAACTTGGATTAGATAGTGTTCCTTCTTTTTATGAAGGTTTAACCTGCCAAGACATTCTTTGAATACTGATAATGTTGATGTTCTTGCCAGTATGGTTATGTTAGAAAGAGGTATTTTTCTTCTTTCATCACCATGTTCCTTGAAAGCATATTGAATAATGAGACAGCCAAAGGGAAATAATTTACAAGTGGATTCAGTGAGTTTATTTAAAGTAGATATTATTTGGGGAATTACTAGAGCCATTCTTGAGATGAGCACTACAGTTTTCAGCTTCAGTTGTAATAACTGAATCCCTGTGAAATCATGCTGTATATATTTATATTTATAAAGTAGCTATTTCCCAGAATTAGAATTTTTTTCTCGGTGTAATAATATCTGAAACCATTTTAGTATTCTTGACTATAAGAACATGAATAATTTTGTAGACCACTAGTTCAAAACATAAGGGCTACTCCTGTACTTCATAATTAATGATTTTTTGTGAATACTTTGCTTTTCCTAAAATATTGTGTATGGTTTTAAAAATAGTTTTGGGCTCGGCGCCTGTGGCTCAAGTGGCTAAGGTGCCAGCCACATACACCTAAGGTGGCAGATCTGAATCCAGCCCGAGCCTGCCAAAAACATCAATGATGGCTGCAACCAAAAAATAGCCAGGCGTTGTGGCGGGTGCCTGTGGTCCCAGCTACTTGGGAGGCTGAGGCAGGAGACTCTCTTTCAGGAGTTGGAGGTTGCTGTGAGCTGTGATGCCACAGCACTCTACCCAGGGGGACAGCTTGAGGCTCTGTATCAAAAAAAAAAATCATTTTGATCAGATTTTGTTTTGATCATTAGAGGCCCCGTGATATTGCAAAAGCTGAATTAGATATTATTGATAGAAGGTTTTAACTACTACAAAAGAGAGAGACTTAAAGAATCTCTTCCCTCCTGTTCCCTCCTCCATGTCACATTGAGTGTTTAGGTTTATTAGGATCAGTTACTGTGTATACTTTTGGTTTTTCTAATTTTCGAGGTCTGAATGAATAATGAACCAGCTCTCAAGGGTTGAATACCTCCAATTTCTGTCAGTCTGGGAAGAGGCAGAGCCTTGGCCAAGAACAGAAAGCTGGAACACTGGCTGTGGAGATTTGGCAGTGAATGTGATGTCTCCCTCTCTTCACATATTTTCTGAGTCTCTCGGAGAGTACTCTTTGTGGTATCTAAAGATTTGGATTACAGATCCAATCTAATGTCCAATAATAATCTACATCCACTGCATTCATGATGTTCTCTTTGTTCATTTTATCTTCCTTTACCTCTTACATGTACTCAAATCTTTTTTTTTTTTTTTTGAGACAGAATCTCACTGTGTCACTCAGTACTGTGACGTCACAGCTCACAGCAACCTCAAACTCTTGGACTTAAGCACACAACGCCTGGCTATTTTTTTGTTGTAGTTGTCATTGTTGTTTAGCAGGCCCCAGGCCAGGTTTGAACCCTAACTGCTGAGCCATGGGCACTGAGCCTGTACTCAAATTATTTTGAATATCTCAGGTTTGTTTCAGCTTTACTATAGGATGCCAAGAAAAAGTCTATTGCCACAATTGGGCCAGTGTTTTAAGGGTCACCTTCCCATCCCCCAATCCCAGTCAGGATTATGTAGATAGTATAATTGAAGAGAGCTTCTAGTTCCAGATTCTAGATTGGCTCACAGTGCCAATCTAGAAAATTTGAGTGGGTTTTGTTTTTGTTTCTTTTTTAACTAATAAAAATGGACATCCTTTCAGATATATTTTAAGATTAACTTGGGGCCGATTGTCAGTCATAGTTGTTTTTGGTTTGGGAGGTTTTTTTTTTTTGCTTCTTAAAAATAAATGATAACCAAATTAATTAAATGGTTCTCATGTTTTCTTTTTTGTTATATTAATTTCCTTTGCCTTTCACCTAAATTCTGTGAAATACAGAAAAAGTAAAAGGATATGTAAGTATGTAAGTCAAATTTTCTGATT